TTCATCAGGAATTAACCATGATAGTTTCTAGGGGGAACCGCGAGGAGGTCGACCTGGTTGGGTATATTGCTAGCATTGGGATTCTTCGTCTCCATTACTAACAATCCCTTTCCCCCCTTTCCTGGAGGTTATGAGGTTGACCTTACGAGGTATATTGCTAGCAATGGGACTGATAGTCTGCATTACTAACAATCCCTTAACGTGGGCGTAGTTATTCATCCATTAAAGAAATACAGAGAGCCGCCTTCAACCCGGATGCCGTCAACTAGTTTGCCATTCTAAGTAGTGTAAAAAAAATGTGGCTCTGCGAGTATATTTGAAAGTAAACCAATCTCCTGTCTATTGAGACTATATTTCTGTATCAATACTTGCCTTTGTGTTTCGTGTTTTGTACATTCGAATATCATATGGTGAATGCCAATGGTACTGCTCATGTCTATAGGCGACGGTTACCACTTTCCATCAGGTGGGCCGTCAGCTTGTTTGCCATTCTAAGTTGTATAAAAAATATAAAATATCACCCAATGTGTTTTTTTTAATGGATGAAAATGGCATGGTAACCCCGCCTGCGCTATCGGTATACACTGGCGGGGGACCAATGAGGGATGATAGGTGAGGATGAAAAGGCAGGTCGGTTAGTCCATCGTGACGAATTCAACGATAAATTAGTCACGATAGTCTCCAGGGGGAACCGCGTAGAGGTCGACCTGATACGGTATATTGATAGCAATGGGGACTAACTTCCCCGTTTACTAACAATCCCTTCCTCTCATCCAATGTGTTACGTCCTCTTATAAATTTAGCAAATAATAAAATAAGTAGAAATTTGTATTGATGATTAATGTATGTGTGTGTGTATGTGTGTGTGTAATATAATAATGAGTAGGGATAATATTTATATTATTATATGTATCACATCTCCCATATTTAGAACTAACAAAATTTTTCATCGTGCCTCCCACCAAATTGTTTATAATTACTCCTCTCCATCCAAAGGTTGGCTGCAAGAGATCGCTCTTAGCGATAAGGTTGCCCATTGTTTTCTCATTGTGATTATTTCTTGTAATTATTTATATTTATAATAAGTTTACTATTGTAATCTTTTGGAGGAAACAATAAAGAGTATCTATCTATCTATCTACAGGTGAGAGGGAGACTTGGGAGGACTGGGGCAGTCACTCCTCGCTCAGCCAAGTGGACGAGGTAAGTATTTAGTATTTATGTTTTATTTTTATTTTATCTTTATTTGGTCTCCTAGCAATTTTTTTTACGACGTTGCAAACGAGCATGCGGCTCACCTGATGGTAAGTGACTACCGCCGCCCATGGTCACCCACAACACCAGCGGCATTGCAGGTATGCTGTCGGCCTTTTAAAAAGGAATATGCTCTTTTCTTGATAGTTACGTTGTCGTATCGGTTCGGAAATACTGCTGCTGGAAGTTGATTCCAAAGAGTGGTTGTGCGTGGGAGAAAGTGCCTTGAAAAACGCACGGTGGAGGACCGCCACTGGTACAGATGGTTGGGATGAAACTTTAGTTTGTGGCGGGTTGTACGGTGGTGAAAATCAGCAGCAGGTATCAGTCCGAACAATTCCTCAGAGCACTCCCCATGATAAATTCGGTAGAAGATGCACAGAGATGCAACATCTCTGCGCAGTTTCCGTTATTGTTACACTGGTAAGATTTAATAATAAAATTACCGCCTATTTATACTTAGTGTACAAGCATTTTAAAGGGCTTTGTTTATTTGTTAATTAACACAGCGTGCTAATTAACAAACAAACAATAATATGGTACAACAATCTCTTGAGGTATTTGACGTTGGTATAGTTTTTTAAATGTTTGTTTGTTATATACAACTTAGAATGGCAAACAAGCCGACGGCCCACCTGATGGAAAGTGGTAACCGTCGCCTATACACATGAGCAGTACCGTGGACATAACAGTGTATACTGTTCCGCCCATGATACCCCCCATGCGTTGCCATTCCTGAGGACTCAGGTGTTATTCCTTTGTACCCTGTAAATTCACTGCCATTTGCCTACCCTTCAAACCGAAACACAGCCATGCAAACACAACTGCTTCACGGTTGAAACACGAATGCGACAGAGGTACCCAAGCAATCGACTTTTGTACAAAGTCTCCCTCTGGTTTTTTAAATTCAATAGATGGATTGTTTCACATAAGTTTTAGCTATTCAAATTAACTGCAATGCTTTTCCTATAGAAATCTAGTTGTTCACTAGATACTACGAAACTTTTTTAAATTTAATCTTTTCACTATTATAAAGAGGATAGATTTGTATTTTTTGTATGTTTGTTTGTCTGTAATGGATAAACTTAAGAAGTACTCAACCTTTTTTTTTTATACAACAAAGGTGGTAAAGCATACAGCTCGTCTGATGGTGAACGACCTATGGATGTTTGCGGCACTAGAAATGTCACGTACGCGGTGCCAACGCAAAAAGAAAAACTTTATTATATCCTTTTTGAAGAACACCATGCTGTAGTCTGCGCAGCCTGAACTTTCGTGGGAAACGATCGAAAAAATTTGAAACCGCACTAATTAAAAAAAACACCTATATATTATTAAAAAAAAAAAAAAACAATATTCCTACGAAAACATAATAATGTAACCCTGGGTTTTAAAAAATTCAAAAAAGTAATTTTCAAACAAGGTTTCTAGTAGATTCGAACGTACTACCTTTGCGATCCATAAGTCGGTCTAATATACAACAAGGGGGAAGGGGATTGTTGGTAATGGAGCTGTATGCTTTACCACCTTTGTTGTATAAAAAAAAAAGGTTGAGTACTTCTTAAGTTTATCCATTACAGACAAACAAACATACAAAAAATACAAATCTATCCTCTTTATAATAGTGAAAAGATTAAATTTAAAAAAGTTTCGTAGTATCTAGTGAACAACTAGATTTCTATAGGAAAAGCATTGCAGTTAATTTGAATAGCTAAAACTTATGTGAAACAATCCATCTATTGAATTTAAAAAACCAGAGGGAGACTTTGTACAAAAGTCGATTGCTTGGGTACCTCTGTCCCATTCGTGTTTCAACCGTGAAGCAGTTGTGTTCGCATGGCTGTGTTTCGGTTTGAAGGGTGGGATATGGTGTGAATTTACTGGGTACAGAGGAATAACACCTGAGTCCTCAGGAATGGCAACGCATGGGTGGTATCATGGGCGAAAAAGTGTACTCTGTTATGTCCATGGTACTGCTCGTGTCTATAGGCGACGGTTACCACTTTCCATCAGGTGGGCCGTCAGCTTGTTTGCCATTCTAAGTTGTATATAAAAACAAAAATATTAAGTATGTGTTTATGTATATGTTTGTTTATATGTTTATATGTATGTATGTATGTATGTATATATATATAATACTAACAATCCCATTCCTCCCCATTTTTTGAGATTATCTATTACAAACAAATATATAACAAAATCTTTCCTCTAATATACTGGCCAGGCGGCTTGGCATAGTGGTATTTTATTTCAAGTTTTCCCCGTACTGTACTTGCATATCGCCAATGCTCGGTAAGTCCATTCGATTTCCTTCTAAACCGCTCGTTTTGTTTTACGCGAATATCGACTTTAATGCATAATGAATACGGTGCTTCCGATCAGTACGTAGTTGGCTGGTCCCTTCACCTTGCGTACATAAATGGACTGTCAACCTACATTTTTATATATTTATTTTGTTGGTTAATATTTCATTGCACGTGCGTGGGCAGCCCTATAGGTTTAGTACTACGATTATATGGATATATAATAAGTCACTTACTTCTCGCGTCTAAATTTGTATTGAGAAATCGGTTCACAAAGCGACTGGTAACGCCCTCTTGTGGGCGTAACAGGACTGTTTATTTTGATGGGTAAAAATGGTATGGTAACCCCGCCTGCGCTAACGGGATACTTTGTATAAACAGCGAGCTTAATTGCCATATCGCAACTATCTACCAGCTAACCATTAGGTAAAAATAAAAAGCGTATGAACTACTTACTTTATAATATTATCTCATTTAAAATGTAAATTTTAATATATTAACAAGAGAAGACTCAAATGTTGCTCGGTATAATTGAAATAATGGTTGCTATTAGGTATGATTTTAGAATGGAATCGAACCTTAAACCTCAGTTACCACTTGTCTCTTATCTGTATAAGTAATAAATATAGATTAAATGAAACCATCATAATATACTTACATATATTTAAACAGTGAAAAAAATATGAGTTCGAGTGAGATTCGAGAACATGGTTCCGCTATCCAGTTCGCACGATGTTACAGTGTTGCCATATATTCCTTACTTACATTATTTAGTGCAATCTCTTAATTTTCAGAAAAACATTTTAATTTACTTTTATTTATCGAGAAAATAAACACTAAAGTTCGACAACGTGAAAAATTATTAAAAAAACATGAATATTTTATTATTAAATCACTGTTAAGTTGTGACTGTTATTTTTTTTTATTTTAATAGTTATTTGTTTATGTTTTGTGTTTTAAATAATCAAACTCAAAACTTAGAATAACGTTTAAAATTTACCTTTTATGGCATTATATTTACCTGGCAGCCGTACCGTCGCGTTTGAAACAGCAAATGAATTATGTGTTATAAATTATTTATTTTTGTCTGCAAACCCAAAACTATTGAAAGCTTAGGTTTGTAGCATTCAGTATGTTCTAAGCGTTTATTTCAAATCGGTAAGTGCATATTATAATATTTCTAGGCACTTGTTATTAATTTTTAAAACATTACAAAATTCAATTTTCAATTTTATTACTCCATGACAGGCAATAAATAGATAAAAGGAACATATGAGCTTAAATTTTTTTGTTGTGTATATCCAGCAAGGGTGCTTAATATGATATTTGTAATTTCCTCAAATCCCATATTATTATACATTACCCCAACGTAAATTATTTTTAGTGGAAATTCAAATTTTAGATCTAGCAACCCAGCGAAAATGCGCCATTCCGTGACGCGATACGTCGCGTATCGGTAGTACTTCTTGTCGCGTTATCAAATACCAAAACAAATACAAGAACGCCAAATACATCTATAAATAAATATTAATTCTGTTTAAAAATACTTAAATCAATAGATTTAGAGTTGTAAATGCAGTGTGCAATTTATTAATTTGGTCTTAGTGTGAAACAAGTGGAATAAATTAGCCAGTTTTCGTTTGCAACTTTGAAAATTACGAAGCGATGCAACGGTATTGGTGACCTACTTTGTGTGTAGTGCAGTGTGACGTCATCACCTCTAGTGTTCCAAATTGGAAGTTTATTATCTTAATTCAATTTTCGATTGGTTGGTGAGAACGGATTGATCAATTCTTATTGTTTATGTTGGCAGATGTGGTAATTTTTTTTTTTATATTTTAACGGTAATAAAACATGATCAAGTGCGACGTCTAGACAGCTTTATGTCAGTTGTAACTTTTTTTTTATTAGGTATATTTAGTAAACAATTTATTCTGTTATTTTTTTAAATTGATCAGTCAGTGGATACTTTGTCGTTTAAAAAATAAATTTATATTATTGTTGCTGTTATTTTTGTAAAAAGATATCAGTACCAAGACTGTTAGGTATTAAAAAAAAAAAATTATAAATTTTTAGTCGGATCGATTTTTATACATAATTATTTTGATTTTATTTATTGCTAGCTTATAGTCCAAGTGTTTGCCCGCGTGGATCAGTATATAAAGTATTCATTGTATTAAGTTTGGATGTAACCTATCCATGTACTAAATTTCATTCGAATCCAGCTTTTAGGGCCGATTCAAATTTGGTCAGTATGGAATTTACGAACATCCAATCTTGCAAACTTGTGCATTTTCTTATACCTATTATTTAGCAGGATGGATTAATTTATTAATTTTAATAAAATAAGTTTGTTATCTGTCCTCCATGGGGAAAATGGGAATTTTAGATAATTAAATAAAAACAATATTATAATGTTTGCTTTCATATTTATGGTAAACAGTAAAAAGTCTTGGCACATTTTTTTAAGGACATGAAATAGCAATAAATTATTGAATTGAATTGAATTATCAAAATAACAGCATATATACATAAATAAATAGGGATTTGATATAAAAGTTTTTATGTATTTGTTGATTGCATCTTTTTGTTTTATTTATTTTAAATGGAAAAGAAATTCAATAAAATAACAAATATGCTAACAAGTTCACTAAATATATATAAGAAAAGTAGAATATTAACCCTTCTTTGCATGATTTCTTTTTATTGATGAAATAAATCAAGGTGATATAATGAATGTTCAAAATTAAAAGTAAAAATTAAAAAAAAAAATTTTACAGCTAAGTTTTTTCTGCAATGGACATTAAAAAGGTATCCAGACACGATCAACTTAAAGTGAACTTGTTCTTTTATATAATTTTTGGGCGTTCAATGTTATGATGGAAATTTCCACCATTGTGCAAAGAAGGGATAAATATTCATCTTATAAATATATAGTTTGCTTCAATAAATATTGAATGAAATATATAGCAATATCCATAAAGATATCCAATATTTTTTTTTTATTTTTTTTCTACAAAAATCCACAGCTCTTAAAAATAACTTACATGCTAAGTCTCTTATGAATACAGCCAATAACGGAATTTATTTATACAAACAAAAATTTTGATTCCAAAGCGAGGTAGGCAATACAATTCCAATATACTGCCAAAGATATTGGAAGCGGCTCAGAAATATCTCGAGTCGGGTTAAATACATTTATTATGACTTTGTATGTTAGCACACTAGGTTTATAACATTGATTTGGCTTTTGTTGTTATAATGTTATAATTACTTTTTAATTAATAAATAAAAAATAAAAATATATTTTAGTTGGCAAATCTTTATACTGGTCCAAAAATGAATAATAAAATACTATTGCCTGATGAAATAATATTGCATAACATACTTAACATATTTGAAAATAGATACCTGATAGATATGAGCAATATCGGAATGGGTGATGACCTTTTTCCCGCCATCAATGTCCAGGTGAACCCTCCAACTTCCAGCAGCGGTATTTCCGAACCGATACAACAACATAACCTTCAAGAAAAGAGTTTATTCCTTTTTAAAAGGCCGGCAGCACACCTGCAATGCCGTTGGTGTTGTGGGTGATCATGGGCGGCGGTAGTCACTTACCATCAGGTGAGCCGCATGCTCGGTTGCGCTGTGTTGTAAAAAAAAACCCAATATATAGATATTGGATCGGTATCCATATTTTTTTTTTAATGGATGATAATGTAATGGTAACCCCACCCGCGCTACCGGTATACACCGGCGGGGCACCAGTGAAGGATGATAGGTGAGGATGAAGTAGGTCAGTTAGCCCATCGTGACAAATTCAAAAAGAATTGTTCACGATGGTTTCCAGGGGGAACCACGTGGAGGTCGACCTAATAGGGCATATTGCTAGCAATGGGGCTGTCAAACTCCATTGCTAACAATCCCTTTCCCCCCAAAATCGGTATCCATATTATCCATGCCTAATGAAAAGGTAACCCCCCCCCGTTACCTTAAAGGGATTGTTAGTAATGGAGACTAAAAATCACATTGCTAGCAATATACCCAACCAGGTCGACCTCCTCGCGGTTCCCCCTGGAAACTATCATGGTTAATTCCTGATGAATTCATCATGATGGGCTAACTGGCCTGTTTCCATTCTCGTCTATCACCCTTCACTGGTGCTCCGCCAGCATATCTCGTTAGCGCAGGCGGGGTTACCATACCATTTTCACCCATCAAAAAAAAATTAAAAGGTAACCAAATTTGATTGATATTATCACAGTTCCAAATTTAATTAGTAACAAGTCGAAACTTCCAATGGATTGATTGATGTTAGAAGCCAAAGATATTAGAAGCGGTTAACAAATATCTAGAGTCGGGTTAAATACATTTATTATAATTTTTTTTTATACAACCTAGAATGGCAAACAAGCTGACGGCCCACCTGATGGAAAGTGGTAACCGTCGCCTATACACATGAGCAGTACCGTGGACATAACAGAGTATACTGTTTCGCCCATGATACCCCCCATGCGTTGCCATTCCTGAGGACTCGGGTGTTATTCCTCTGTACCCTGTAAATTCACGCCATATCGCACCCTTCAAACGGAAACACAACTGGTTCACGGTAGAAACATGAATGGGACAGAGGTGGCCAAGCAATCGACTTTTGTACAAACTAGACTTGCACTTGACTAGCTTTTATATGTATAACTAGGGGCCCGTCCCGGCTTCGCACGGGTATACATTTTTACAAGATAAAAAAGTTATTATTGTGACATAACGATAATAGTTGGACATATAGTGTCGCGGAGTTTTTTGTAGTTATCGATATTTCCTTCAATATTGTAGAACATACTTTTGTTCTATCACCAATAGTTTCCGCAGCGCACGCGACCAAAGATATTTTATAGCATTTTTTTACACCTCGAGTTACGTTACTAAAGTTTTAGTAAGGACCCCTAATGTTTTCTAGCAATAAATTTAAGCTATGTTACTCAGGGTGAATGTAGCTTTCTAATGGTGAGAGAATTTTTGAAATCGGCAAATTAGTTTCTGAGTTTATTCATTACAAACATACATACACACAAAAATACAAATCTTTCCCCTTTATAATATTAGTTTAGATATCATTTAACTAAATACCTGTATTTATACAAATAAATAACTTAATTTGACATAGTTTCACATTTACAAAGGATTAGTAAGGTTTAAAAAGTGATGAATAGTCCAAAACCCACAACTATTGCCACACACTCGGCTAAATCGACCGAAATAAATGCCGGAGTGTTTTACAAGCTACAGTTAAGACTTCCTGCCGCGCGGGCGCGGGCGCCGGCGTCCGACACAGATAAGGCGGATTCAATTGGAAGCCACGTTTGAGCTATGATCAAGGAATTAAGATGTTTCGAATTAATTACATTGTCCATTTGGCAGCTGTCCCTCTGTACTGGACACCACTGTCTCACCGTTGTACGGGAAGGGTTTTTTTTTTTGATGGCTGAAAATGGTATGGTAACCCCGCCCGCGCTAACGGGATACGCTGGCGGAGCACCAGTGAAGGGTGATAGATGAGAATGAAAACAGGCCAGTTAGCCCATCATGATGAATTCATCAGGAATTAACCATGATAGTTTCCAGGGGGAACCGCGAGGAGGTCGACCTGGTTGGGTATATTGCTAGCAATAGAATTCTTAGTCTCCATTACTAACAATCGGGAAGGGATTGTTAGTACTGGAACAGCTCCATTTATACTTTCTAGGGAGGGATTGTTAGTAATGCGGATTACCAGTCCTATTGGGGGGAGGAGAAGGGGTTGTTTGTAATGGGAATTAGCAGCCTCATTGCTAGCAATGTACCCTGTCAGGTCGACCTCTTCGTGGTTCCCCCTGGAAACCATCGCGATTGATTTATTGTTAAATTCGTCACGGTGGGCTAACTGACCTGCTTCATCCTCACCTAATCACCCCTCACTGGTGCTCCGCCGGTGTATACCGATAGCAAAGGCGGGGTTACCATTCCATTATCATCCATTAAAAGAAAACTACCTGAAAACTATTACATTAGCGCGTAACTCAAAATTCAATTACCTAAAAAACTGACCTTGCTGGCGTATGTAGGTCGAGAAAGTACGCGAAGGTATATTGTGGTACTTCATGTTCCACCCACATTGGACACTAACAGCTATTTGTACACTAGTTATACACTCGGCTTTGTTTGCACCTTTGAAAAGACTTTAAAATCCATGCAAGCATTTGGGAATCTTTTTTTTTATACAACTTAGAATGGCAAACAAGCTGACGGCCCACCTGATGGAAAGTGGTAACGCTCGACACTTGGGTACGATTATTATTTTTATTTATACTGATCCTCACATACATACATACATACATATCTGTCACGCCCGTCTCCCATTACGGTAGGCAGAAACAATGGAACGCCAAATGCTTCGATTCAAACAAACCTCTTTCGCTTCCTCCACATTCATCAATCTTTTCATACACTCTCGCCGGTTACGGGTACTTTTAATTTGGCCCTTCTTCAGCACGTCGCCTACTCGGTCGACACACGTCCGTCTAGGGCGGCCCCTACCGACATCTCCATTCATTCTTGCTCGATAAATACTGATCCTTGTCTTATTTTTATATCATAAAACATCTATTTGATTACCAATATTTGTATGTTTCGTATGAAGCTAAACATTTTTTACTAAACAATGCAATGGCATAAAAATCATTTTTCAAAAGTTGCGTTTTTAAATTTAAATATATTGTTGGTTTTGATACAACTGAAGTTGGTGTTTTTTTTTTTTTTTTGTTATTTGAAATAAAATC